TGGCCCATGGGAGTCGGCAGGGGGGCTGTGACCAAGAGCTGAGGGGAGGAGAGGCTTTTGGGAGGCTCAGAGGACACAGAGCGCTTCCCGTGGGTGCTGGACTCCAGGAAGTTTGTGAGCCCACTATCAAACAGACCATTGCGAAAAACTGAATCCTATAAACTTCCTATTAAATATACTAAAAGTGATCGCAAAACTACTTAAAATCACCACTTTCATTTTGCTACACTGGCCTATAACTATGCTCTTGAGGTCACCTGCATCTACATGCCTGGATGTGGCCTGCTACTGTATGTCTCCCCTAAGTCACATTCGGTGACCTCCCAAGGGTGGGACAACATGGGAGGACTTATACATGGGACACGGCAGGGCTTGATCTACTGTGCTGTGGACTGGCAGGCTCAGGGAAAAGATGGGAAGATGCTAACAATGCAGCTGGAATTTAATGGAATGCTTGTCGGTGGCGTTACATTGGGAATAAACAGCACCAAACATGGAGAAGATAGATGTTCTTCCAGTATCAAAAAAAAATATTATCTGACCGAGCAAAGTCATTCCTGTTTTTGAAGAAGGAATGAAGCTGGGACATAAATCTTCACTGTTTCACTTTTTCCCCCCATTTTTGTTCTGCTCTTCAAAGTGAATGAAAACATCAAGCATCCCTTTCCAAGCTATGACCACTCCGGAACTGCGGCCACAGCTCGGCAATTGAGTTTGGCAAAAATCAGAGAGTACTGGATCAGAATCAATTGGCCACATGGACTTTTAATTAAGAGCACTGTCTTCTTGAATTTTAGAACTGTGTGCTACACATTTTTAAATTCAGTATTTGCAGTAAATGTGTGTATGTGAACATGTTCCCTGGAGAGCGGACGGAGGCTTTCACCAGCTCGTGGCTGCTCTTGGTAACAGACCAGGCCCAAGCAGAGAGCACCTTGGGACTGTGCCCAGCACGGAGCCTGGGCATCCTCTTTTTTTAGGCATCGCATTGAAATGAGCCCAGTTGGAAATAATGCCTTCAGGCCTTCTGAGAGTGTGAACAGGTCACCCAGTCACACAGCAGACTTGAGTACTCTGAGGCTAGGGGTCAGCAAAGTGTCACGGGACCACACAGCATGTCCCCAAATGTTTGAGAGGAAAACATGGCTGTCATCCTCTGTTGGACATACAGTAGGGTCTCTGGGATTCAGTTCTGTTTTTCTCTTAACTCCCTTTTGTGAAGTGATTCTGGTTTCCTTTGGGGATGGGTGACCTCAATGGTGAGGTAGTGGTGACATTTTGCTGTTGTCCCAGGGTTCTTTCTATTCAATGAACCATGATTTCCAAGAACGTGGTGAGAGCTAGCTCATTAGTTCATCTAGCTGGAGACAAGAGAAGCTTCTGCATTCACCTAATGCCACTCTAGGTGACAAGACTCAAGCCCAGAGAGGGCAAGAAATTTTTTCCTAGACCACACAGCAAGCCATCGGCAGAGCCAGCACTAGAACGGAGAGGCGCAGAGACCAGAAGGTCTTCCCTCACAGCCCCGGCTCTCATCCAAACTCGTGACCAGGTTGTGCCCAGAGTGAAGGGAGAAGTGGGGTTCTGCAAAAGGGCCTCTCCGGGCCTCTGGGCAGCGCTGCCTTCCCGCCTTCTTTACCTGCTCCTATCACCACCGCATCGTACTCGGGCTTCGGGCGTCCGCCAGCTTCCCAGTGAGCATGTCTCCAAGCGGGGCAGCGAGAGGCACCCCAGGCCCTACCGAGACCCCGGCCGCTCGCAGCCATTTCTGCCTCCAGGAACCCGCGGGCGGCCCGCCCTTCGCGCCGCCCCAGGCAGCGGGGGCAGTGGGGAGGCGGAGGGGAGGAGCGCCGCTGGCCGGGCCTCTGCCTCGGGTCCTCCTGGCGCTGCGTCTGCGCAGGGCAGCCCCGGGGCGTTGCCTGGGAACCCCGCGGAGTCGGTGCAAAGACTCAGAAAGCGAGGACCCGCCGACAGTCCCGAGGGCTCCCGTGGGCGGGTCGCTGGGCTGGACGGGGCGGACCCCGCTTCCCCGGCTGTCACCGTGTGCCCTGTCGGGATTGTGGGGATGGCACAGCAAGTGGGAGAGGGACCGTCCAGTCTGTCCACCCCCCGGCGCCTGGTCCTCAGGCTTCTGGGTGGAGTCACAGTCGGAGGTAGGGACAGTTCCCCACCCAGGAGAGCCTCGGGCCACCTTTAGCAGGAGGCCTTCAGCCAGCTGCACAGAAGGCTACAGGTCTGCTAAACACCGGCCCCTGAACAGGCTGCTGCGGTCTGCTCCACGGTCTGCTCCACTTAGGGCCAGGTTCACTGTAATTCTTGGGGTTGCCTTTTTCTTCCTAAGGTCTGCACATTTCTGTTGGCATCTTTCCCATTTCCCAAGAATCCTCAAGGGTTAAAGTTCACATTTGCAAATATCCTCAGCTGAAGTGCTTTCTTACTGTCCCTTTGGGCTGTCTTCAGTCAGGAGCCCCTTTCATCCTTGGCCACTCCTCCCCAGATGGTCCCCTGTAGGCAAAAGGCTCTTGCACTAGTCTCACCCTGTGTCACAGGAGCCTGCTACTAAATGACTCTCAGAACCAGAAGAGGAAAGACCGTCCCAGTAAGCAGGCTTTCTAAGAACCCTTCTCTCACACAGGTACCCCTCTACACACAACCAAGGTTCATACTGTGTGAATCTGCTAAAATCTGATTCAGGATATATGCCCCAGTGTTTTAATAATAGTTTCCCCCTCCCCATCTGTAGGTTCCACATCTATAGGCTCAATCAGCTACAGATTGAAAATATTTGAAAAAAACTGCAGCTGTACTAAACATGTCAGACGTTTTTGTTATTATTCCCTAAGCAATAAAATATAACTGCATTTACATGGTATTGGCTATTGTAAGTAATCCAGAGATGATCTGAAGCGTAGGGGAGAACGAAGATTACCAGCCAATACTGCATCATTTTATTTAGGAACTTGAACGTCTGCAGATTTTGATAGGCTGCCTGTGCACCTGTTGTCAAGGAGTCCTGGAGCCAATCCCCTGTGGATGATTGTACAGAACAGTCAGCAGATTAGCTCAACCAGATTCTTCACATCATGTACAGGCTAAAAATCAAGGGAAAACATTAATTTTTTTAAAAGTAGGTGTCTTATACAGTGGTGGGCTTATAGGCTACGTTCTTTTTCCTTTGTGCTCTTCTGTATTTTCCACATTTGATATTTTTCTTTTTAATTCTCACCCATAAAATCACGATATTAAGGAATACAGATCAGGTTGTCTCTGGGACACTGTCCTCATAAGGACTCTAACCCTCAGTGCCTCTGTCCTCCCCAAAGCAGTTCCCTGCAAGGGAAAGACCAGTGTCCTTCACAGAGTTTCTGCCCAAGACTGAGATGCAGAAGGCTGGGCTCCTGCCCGCACACCAGGGTGTCCTTTGCTTCTGGGGTGGATGCTTATTTCTACCCTGCCACCTCTCTCAATCCAATGCCTCCTCTTTGCCTGAGGAGCCCACACCTGTGTCCCAGTGTTCATCTTGGTGTCTGTCCTGTGGTAAGAATCTCTGGTTAGAAGAGAGGGGCTGTACCCCTGGGAAGTGGGTTCAGTCTGGGGAACACCAGATTACCTGAGGAGCTTTTAGAATCATCAGTCTTGACTTTACACCGAGCACATGAATCTGAATCTCTGGGCCAGGGTCTGGAGCCGAGAACTACAGCCCTAGGGAGAAGCAAGCCCGGCATGGAGGGGCCAGACCCTAGCAAGGTTTCTCAGTATTGACAAAAGGGTCCTGAAGCACTGACATGCTGGATGACAACAACTGACATTTATTAAGCACCTATCATGTGCTGGGTGACCCTCCCAGCCACCTGAGGGGGGTGTCATTACTTGAAATGTGGGGGAACAGCATTGAAAATGCCCCGAGTTGCAGACGAGGCTGCAGAGCTGGAACCCAACCAGCCAATGGCGCACCTATTATCTGGGGGCAGAAAACAGGCTTTTCTGCTCAGAACAGCAGAGGCAGAGGGGGGTCTTCAGACAGTCTGAGCATTAGGGTCTTCCTCTCTTCTGGGGACAAGTGGGGATGCAGCTCTGAAAGAGGAGCTGCTGCCGTCTCTGACCTCACAGTCACCACTGTTTTAAAGAGGAAGCCCAAAGCCTCTGCCTCCAGAGGGCAGGATTTAGGAGTTTGTTCACCACCCCGTGTGGAGGCGGTCCAAGTGGGGTGTGATAAACCTTGGGGCCTCCTCGCATCCTCAGGAGGCTACTGGGGACAGAAGAAAAGTTTCTGCTACGGGGAGGGGGCACTTTTGCAAGCAGGGATGGCTGCAGAACAGGTGCCCTGGCAGCAGCCTGCAATCTGGCCTAGGGCAGGGGCACACGGGAGGCCTCCCCCAGGCGCCGGGCGAGCTGGCTGGCCTGTTGCACCAGCAGGTTGGTGGGGATGACTGACAGGTGCAGGGCCAGCAGCTCGTAGCACCTGATGGCCTCCGTGGGGTGGCTCTTGCTGTAGTAGCGAAGGAGCTTCCTAAAAGGGAAAAGGAGGACAAGGACTCAGGAGTGAGCGATGACAGTCCTCCCAGGCCAGAGGCCTCTTGGGCCACACAAGCACCCAGACACCCCCCCTTGGTCCTCTCACTAGGCCCCAGCACCAGGCCGGTGATTCTGTCTCCTGCTCCTCATGACCTAAGCTTCTAGGCTTAGCCCCAGGTCATGGTCCCTTCTTCAAGGTCCTCCCTCCTCAGCCGGTTGCATTCTAATTAAGAGGTGTCAGCAGGGAAGCTCTGGGTCCACATGGAGGTCTCCCTGTGCTACCAAGACTGTGCCGCATCAGGGTGGGTGGGCTCGAGGGGGCTCTCCTGGTGCTTCCTCCTCACAGGTTGCTGTGCCAGCCCCAGCCCAAGTTTTTAGCTTCTTGGGGTGGAATGGGGCAATTCTGGAGGAACTGTCCCCACGGGGATACCCTAAATCATTGACATCTGGGAACACGGACATCCTGCGCCCTGAGTCAGCGTCACCTGTAGTAGTCACCTCCCAGCACACCAATGGGGACTGAGTCATCGGAGAGGACAGGCACCTCAATCATCTGCAGCTTGTAGCCCTGTGGAAGGAAAAGCAGGGTCTTGAGGACAGAAGGTGGTGGGCTGGGTGAGGAACCCGGCTCGAGGGCGCCGGGCGTGGCCCTGCTGTGCTCAGTGCTGCAGAATGCACCTCTCTACCTGGTTTCCTGCCCTGTGAGGCGGGAACATCCCTCATGAACCTCGGAGAGAATGTTCGTGGAGTTCTCAGTGTGACACCTGGACCAGCAGGGCCCAGCAGGCAGAGGGAGGGCAAGGTGGGGGGCGGGGGTGTTGGCCAGGGTTTCGAGGCTCTTAAGAGGCTCAAGTCTCTGCTTTGAAGGAACTAGGAATTCCATGCTAGGATGAGGTAGGAAACTGGGATCCCTAGACACGGACAGCAAGCGAGGCACCACCATGTGCTCTTACAGCAGCCCTCACGTGATGCTCACCTGGCATCAGAGGCCTACCCTGTGGTGAGGAATCGGGCCCAGAAGTGTTAAGGGACTGTCCACTCTGCCCAGGTGGGTGCTGTGGCCAGTGGCCTGACCTGGGCCTCCCACCCCACAGCTCTGCTGCTTTCTACCACTCCTGAGGCCCCCTCAGCACACGCTTCCTTGTCTCTCTCGAAGCTCAGGTAAAGGTCAAGGAGCCCCCCAGCACTCCTGAGGCAGAGAGCTAAGCTGAGAGGCTGCAGGTTGTGAGAGTAGCTTCTGGTTCTGGCTTCATCACTGAGGCCTCGATGGCCTTGGCCATGGCTTTTGATCCCTGAAGCATGAGCATCACACAATGAGGTCAAGGAAGCTTGCCCCACCCACTGCATGGGGCTGTGAGGGTTGAAGGAGGGAACAGGGGTGGAGGCCCCCAAAGTACACTGAGTTACGGAAGGGGTGGGTGGGCAACCTAGAGCAGGAAGGAGACTGGAGCATGAGGACAAGAAACCAAGGGGCTGTGGGGTGGAGGGGACGATCCTTGGTCCTGGAATAATGATGCCAAGTGACAAGAAAGGAGAAAACATTAAGAGAAAGAGAGGGAAAGGAAAGGACAGAGAGGCGCTGTGGACAGCAGAGTCTGACCCACGCCAGCTGTGGCAGCTTCGCCTCAGGCAGGCTGTTAACCCCTTTGAACCTCCACCTACCAAATGGGAGTGATGGCACACCCCACTTTACACAGAAGCGAGAATGTGAAGCACTACAGAGGTACCAGCTGTGATCCGAGGGCCCATCTCAGGGGCACCCGGAGTCTATCTCTTCGTGTGTTCATCAGGACGCTGCCTGAGCAATGGCACAAGTTGGCCGGGCAGTAGGTGATCACAAAGCAAACTTAAATGCTGGCGTGACAATGTGACCATGGTTCTGGGACCCCATCGCTATACTTACCTGTCATTCCACCAGGGACAAGAAGAGATGAGGGACAGATAGACTGAACACAGTTCAGAAGAAAGGAATCCGAGGGTGACAGCAATGGACAGCACTTCAGGACTTTCCTGCCAGGGCCCTGGCACACCCACCATATCGTTCTCAAACCACAGGAAGTAGGAGCAGCAGAAGTCCCCCTCGTGGAACAGCAGAGTAGTGTAGCCCTTCTGCAGGTATCGGCGCGCCAGCCGGACCAGGGCCCAGACCTGGGGAGGGAAGAGCGTTCAGCACTGCCCTGCGGCCACATGGCTCAGGTGAAGGAAGAAGGAAGCAGAAGTGCTGGGCTGAGGAGCTCCAAGGCCAGGGGCACTGCCTTGGCTCAGAGCAGGAGCTTTGGAAGCAATCCCTGTCAGAGGGATTGCCCGGCCACCCCTCCAGCTGTGGTGAGGATTAAGGACTTTATAGGACTACTACATACGTAAGTTGTAAATTAGTAAACCCATACTTCAGGCCAGAAAATGGCCAAGGCCAGTGTCATGTGCATGACAGGAGATTGAGGTGTGGCCACTTAGAAAATTCCTCTGTACAGGGGCCCCCATGGGCTAAGAGGTGATGGCTCAGCTCTGCACCAGGAGCTGGGGGGAGCATGTTTGAACATACAATAAGTGGAAGCCAGGCGTGTCCTCTGCTACTGGGTGAGGATTCACCTTGGGGTGGACATGACCAGTGGACCTGAGAGATCACCTGCCTTAGGTCCCTGTCCTCCAGGGATGTTCTCTTGCCTAAAGCAGGGACTGTCATGGAGCTGCCTGAGAGCTGCCAGAGGGAAGGTGGCCAACTCAGCTTTCCCGTACTTCCAGGGCTGGGAAAAGACTCCATGAACTCTCTTATTAAAAGCCTGGGTGGGGGGATGGAGGATTCACTCCATAGCTGATCACAATTTACTGTCTAATTAAATCCACAGATACACAGGTTGGCTATACTTTCCAGGAAAGCAACTTGACAATGTGCATCAATATCCTTAATAACATTCCTGCCATCTAACTTAGTAATTCTATTTCTGGGAATCCATATTGAAGAAATAATCAGAGATGAGGACCCAGATATATGCACAAAAGGTGTGTTCTGCAGAATTATTTATAACAGGGTAAGCCTGGAGACAGTCTAGAACTTCAAACATCGGGAAATGGTTATGTGAACTATGTTGCATTCACATAATGGACTATTATAGAGTTGCTAAAAATCAGCATATGAAGAATTAATGGCACAAGGAAATGCATCTAACATAATATGAAGTGAAAACATGTCAAATAAAACTGCACATGCAGAGTGAGCTCAACTGCAACAAAGTATGCAGAGAAAACAATAAAAAGTAACATGCCAGGGAGCCCTGGCTGTCCAGAGAGGGACAGCCATGAAGATGGTGGGGTTGGGCCACTGGCCAATGCTCTATGGCTTATATCTATATTTTGTGCCACATGCTGTGCTAAATATTTTACATGCATCATCTCAAATCATCTTTACAATGATCCAATGACGTAACTATTAATATATCCTTAGTTGAAACTGACACTTCAACTAAGTCATGCCCAAGGCCACATAGCTAGTGGGAGGCAAGATGGGTTTCCAACATGGCCTTCTGCCATCCTGCTTATTTTAACTAGTAGGTATACTTTATATGGACAACACAAAAAATTGTTTTTAGAAAGTGGCAGAGGCCCTTACTCACCATAAAAACAAAACAAACAAAAAGTTTGTCATGAAAAAGAATCAGTTAAATTAGGAGAATGGTTCCTTAGTAGAAATGGTTCCACCTAATTTTAAATTCTGGTGGGGCTGGGGGTGTAGCTCAGAGATGGAGTACTTGCCTAGCATGTGTGAGGCCCTGAGTTCCATCCCCAGCACTACAAAAACTAAACATGTACAAAAATTCTGACTCCTAAACTGATTTCCCTAGAGTTCTTTCCATTTCAGCTAATTCAACAAAGTCTTACTGAGCATTTACTTATGCCAGACACCGGCCATTTCCTCCTCTGACCTAACAGCAAAGAGCACTCTGCTAATGCCAGGTGCATTGATATGCTAGGAGGTGCTGCCTGACTCGGACAGAGGCTGACATGGTCCCAGATGCTGGGCCTCTCAGCTCTGGAAGACAAGGTGCTGTTCCCGAGGAGCTTGCAGCAGGTATACCTGGCAGTCAGGTACAGTAAGGGTTAAGGTGGGGGTGTTCAGAGTCCCTGGAGCCCAGAGGACAGCAGGGTCCATTCTTCCTGGGTGGGAGTCAGACCTCAGCACATCCTACCCAATGGGCAGTGCAGAGTGCTTGGACCAGAGGAGCATAAGTTACCTTGGCTTTGACGAAGGCGGCCAGGGGCCCCTTGCCCAATTCTGATGAAGTCTTTTCACTGCTGCTAAGGGAAGGTGCCACCATCTGCCCAGTTGTTCGGTCCACGTAGATGAAATGCACCAAGCCTGGGAAGTCCTCCAGGTAGGTGAAGGGTGAGTTAAGGTGCTTATAGAGCCAGGGATTATAAGCCTCCCTGTCTGGCTCCTGGGCTTCTGGTTCTGAGAAGCAGTGCCCAGGATGCCCCTCCTCATAGGCTTCCATTTCAGCCTAGCCCCCTGGATCCCTGCTGCCCCAGAGATCTCGCCACCTGTCCCACCTCCCTCAAGATCCTGGATGCCTTCACAGGTAGCATAGTAACACAGGTACTTCTGGACTCTGTGGAAACGCTGCAGTTTCACAGTTGGTCACTTTGGGAGTGAATTTAAATTATACACACCTTAAAGGTACATGTGAGCAGAACCTGGCTGACCGCTCAAGCGCACAGTGATCTTGTTCTTCTCCACCATTCACCTAAGAGGTTGGGAAGGTTCCCAGTGACGGGAACTGACCCCCATGGAAGGACAGTAGCTGGTGGACAAGAGGCCCCCAGGCATCCCTCTGTCCTGCCTACTGAAGAACAAAGTCCCATAAGATGGAGGTCTGACACTTTGGAAATTTTAATACAGAAAAAGTGTTTGAAGTTCCCTGTAAAATTGGTATTCTAAAACTGGTGTTCCATAATACAAGAGACAAATAAAACTTGGGAATGGCTCTTTAAACAGAGATACACATTCACCACAGGCCTTCCCAGGATCTTCACATGCCACTGTTCCTGGTAGCAATCCAAGGAAGGTGACAGGGGCCTTGTGAACCAACCAGCCCATGGCAACCCCTGTCCCTGCCCCCAACAGCTATTACCATTTTGCTGGCATAAGGAGCTTTAAGGCTGTTATGATTTACCTTTGGGACAGTGGCATTTCTGAAACTTCAGCCTTGGGGTGTCCTATAGATGAGGCAACTGTGACACAATCCCCTATTATTTTTCTTCAAAGAGAAGCAGCTGAGGTGGTGGAATACACATCCTCTCTTCCCCAGAGAGGCCTCCCTGGGCTGGCTGCTCAGATTCAGGATATGACACCATGGTGATGTTCCTCCTGCTCTTCACCAACAGAAAGTCCTTCCAGTCCATCAGCCTCTCCCTATGGGGGAAGCGAGGGCTGCTGAGAGGGGCGCCCTGCACTCCTGCTCTGGCTCCGCTCCCGCCTGTGAGGGCCTCTGCCCCACTTACCGCATAAGCTTCTGAACTTTGTCCTGCAGGTGCTGGGGCAGGTGTGGGCCTCCCCTGCTGGGCGCTGTGGTCAGGAAGCTGAGCCGGTAGATGGAGCAGAGCTGCCGCTTCAGCTTCCCACACACCTGGAGCAGCCTGGGCACGGAGTGTGTCACAGTGGGACTGGGAGCGCAGCACTGCATGTCCCTCACTGTGCCAGGAGACAGCTTCCCCGATTCCCCTACAAGGTGCTCCTTGCCACTGTGCACCTCACCAACCTCATTATTTTGCTGACTAATGTGGGGAAGGACTTGCCCAAGATGGCATCCAGTCAGTGCTGCAGCTGCCTCAAGTCTTGGGGTGCCTGGTGTCGGGTCCTCATGCCCTGGCCCTCCACTTCCAGCTCTGCTTCCTGTGGCCTCCTGTGGGCTGGCCCTCAGCTTCCCAGAGACCCTAGAGCCTTTTCTCTCTCTGGGCCTGCAGGGACGGCAGTCTCTCTGGGGAACATCTCCCTGTTCCAAAGACTCCCCTTGTCCTCTGGGCCCACCACTTACTCCCAGGATGATCCCGGTTCGCTTTTGGAGAAGGCCTTGGTCTTAAACTCCAGCCAGGTGCTCTGTAAGGAGGATGGTGGTAGGTCAGCCTCCAAAACATGTCCTACAGTGAGGTCCAGAAGAGCGGCTCTGGGAGGACACAAGCTCCGCCCTTACACAGCCCAGGTGGGCTTCTCTGGCAGCCCCCACTAGCACTCTGAGCACCACAGCCCACGCCGTCCCATTCACACAGTAGGCCTTACTTAAGAGTCATTTCCACAGGCCACGTGTGGGCATTACAATTCGTGTTCTGCCACACTTACGTAAACAGGCTGTGGAAGTGTGGCTGTTTGCTTTCTGTTCCCATTTCATAATGGGGAAAACAAGGAAGGTGGATCTGTGGGGAGCAGGCACAGGAACCAGTACCACTGGCCCCTGCTCTACTGGGATGAGATGGCCCTGCCGCTAAGCCTTGCTCATCTCCTCTGAGGCTGGGTGAATGCAGGCTTTGGGTCCCACCTGAATCTCCTGTCCCCCTCGATTCTTGATGAACTTGTCCATTCTCTGGCGCAGTTCTCCCAGGAGGGGCTGGGACCGCAGGCCACTGCCAGCCTCCTGGCCCTCCTTCAGCTTCTTCTCCACCAGGGAAAGACCATCCAGCAGCTGGTACAGGACCAAGGCCAGTGGGGTGCTGGGGCTCTATGGGAAGGAGCAAAGGGGTCATAGTGAGAAGCTGTTCGGGTTTAAGTGTCACCAGGGCAAGGTGGGAGATCCTGTACCTTGGTCAGGAGCACCATGTTGATGCCCGGCCACAGAGGTAGGCAGTACATGGTGTGGGGCACCAAAGGGCAATAAATTTCTTTTATACTGGCATCCAGGAAGATTCTTCTGGGGCTGGAAGGCACTGGGGAGTGAGGAACCTTTGTCTGGAGGGTGTCCTCAGCTATCTGTGGATGGAGGAGATTATTAGTGAGGTGGGTAAGAAATCTGGCCTCCTCCCCAAGTTGGATCTACTGTCAGTTGTCCCTTCCCTCCCCTACATGTGTATGAAGAATACAAAATGTTAGCTGCAGGAAATGCTGGTTCTTAAATACCTGCATTGCCCCAGCAACTCCAGTTTTCTGCTCTCAGCTTCTTCTGGGCCTTTCTGCCCTGGTCGGGACAGGATGCCAAGCAAGGCAGTGGGAAAGGGCGCAGGGCAAGAAGGAGCACAGAAGGCAGGATGGATGGACGCTAGGGGACGGGGAGAAGCTCCCTCTCCTGCATCCCTTAGAGGAAAGTGTCTAAAGTTCAGTATGCTCGTCATTTCAAAGTCCCCCAGAATCTCCTGACAACCTTCCAAACTGGGTAACTAGGCATAAGACAACTAAATGAGCAAGACTCGCGCCTTAGTGGGGGCTCTGAATAAGGAAAGTCTTTAGTTGGAAAAATTATAGAGAATTAAGGAAATCATTAGAGATGCCAAAAAAATTTCTCTGTAAGGATGTCACTTCAGTTATATATAACAGCAAAAAACTGAAAACAATGTATGGCTTGTTCCAGGGATTTGCTAAATAAATAGTAACATATGCGTGGATGGACTCTCAGCAATTCTTAAAAACCATACTGCTGAAGAGTGCTTGGTAAATGGAAAATACTTAAGCAAGAAAGTATAATGAACTACATTAGGATCCAAATGTAAGGAAAATATATATAGTATGTGCGCATATACAGAGAGAGAGAGACACACACACACAGAGAGAGAGAGAGAGAGAGAGAGAGAGAGAGAGAGAGAGAGAGACAGAGAGACAGAGAGACAAAGAATGTGTGTTTGTAAAATCAAAGGAATAAAATACTTTAAGGAAACATATAAAAATGTTAATTTCACTTTGTGGATAGGATTGAGTGATTTTTGGTCTCTTTTCCATACTTGAATTTTGAATTTGTTGTTTTTCTAGAATAAATATGTTTAGGTTTCTTTTTTTCCCTAAATATCAAAACTTAAGTTCTTTTTTTAAAAATATCAAACTTATGTTCAACTTTCCCTCCCAAGAAAATGAGGAGGGAAAGAAAATTCATCAGGCCTGAGGTCCAGCGCCTGGAGGAAGCTACCCTCGTACCCTCTCCCTTACCCAGGTGGGTCTGCCTCTGGGCTGAGCTGGGACTGACCAGCCTGAGGGGCAGCCGTGGGGCTAGTGCTGGAGGAGTCATGCGGTCACTCAGCATCCCCAGCACTGCAGAGGAGCTATACCCATGTAGACCTCCAGAGACTCACCTGGGGAACATCAGTTGGTGGGGTGCCCCCTTCTAGCCAGATGGTGCTACCTGTGGGCCACAGGTAAGAATAAACAACATAAATACTGTGAGAACAGAATGATGTCACCTTAGCATGTCAGAAGGACTGGCGCCCAGAGGGCCCTGTCCATTGACAGCTCTAAGCCCCAGGTAGGAGCACAGGTTGTAGCCCCAGATTAGCCACCTTCTCCCAAGCTGACCAGTGCTGGGTGAACTCTGCTTTACCAGGGCTAAAGCAGCCTGGGATGGGAAGAGAGGCTTGCCGAAGAGCTGGCTGTTGGGACTGGAGCTCCTTAGCATGTACCTGGCAGTGTGTGTGGGGGTGCATTTTCCTTAGCACCTCTTCCTTGAACCCTTAATCTTCTCCTTGTTTCTGTCAGCACACAGCTGACATCTAGTTCTCCAATCACCAGTCTTTTACTTAACACTACTATGTGCCAGGAATTGAGTAGATTTTCTTCCTAGCATAACTCACAACAACACATGAAACCCACTATATATTTGAAATATTACATGTTTGCAATAAGTAATAATTGTTCTCTCTTGTATTTAATTGCAAATAGTCTTCATCTGTAATCATGCTTCTTTGGGGGTAGGAAGTGTGCTCCTAGGTTTCAAATGCCTGATTTACAAATGGATAGCACAACTCAATAGTTTGTAAGGCTTGAGTTCTGTTCTCAGTGGATGAACATTTACACCTCTGAGGCATAAAAATACCTAGTCACCAAGAGAGAAAGACCATAAGGAGGATTCTGATGGAGGAAAGGGAGTGATAAGAAGGAATTTGGAAGTTCATCCAAAAGCCACACCTCTCATCGTGCCCTGGGCTCAAGGGGTGCTTAAAGAATCTGCAGATGGCTATGGACCCTTGTCTCAGAAAAAGGCACAAGCATGAGTTGTCACACAATCTCAGGGGCTCCTAAGCTCCTTGAAGCTGGTCCAAGGACTGAAAATTGAGAACATTTAACCCAGTGGTGTTCAACCTTGGCCGCATATGAATATCATTTGGCACCCTGGCCACTGCTCAGACCAATTAAGTCAGAATTGCCAGGAACAGGCTCAGCCTCAGTAGCTGTGAAAGATGAGTCCAGTTAGGCAGTCTTAACTGCCCACAGCAGCCAGCCCCACTTGAGGCACAGGTATGCTATGTGCAGCCAGAGCTGGGAGCCACTGGCCTAAAGAAACCAAACAGTGAATCCCTCAAAACAGACTCCAACAAGTTCCTCCTCCAGCAACATTGGCCTTCTTTATTCTATGAAATGGTGTGAGCCACAGGATCCTTCCTTTTATCCTAAAAACTTCATAGATAAATGTGATGCTCATTTGTGGTAACAATGACAATACAGATTTCAGTTTATCTTCTTTCCTAAGCGATGTGTATTATTTTTTGTTAATAACATTTTTGAATGTTAAGATAAACATTTTATTGTTTCCCCACATATTCTGGAAAAATAGGGAAAGTACAAATTATAGAGACTATTTATATTTTAAAATGTACTTAACATCAAAAAATTACATAATTTTACTTAATGACAATTATTTACTACAAAAAAGAAAAATGAGGTTGATACACATATAGAATTTTAAAATGAAATCAACTTGTCACAAAATGCTTTAAGGTGCATTTGAGTGGTCTCAGCAGTCCGTGAACACACACTAGCGCCAACACTGACTGTATCCCATAGCCTGTGCTCTGGGAACCTGAATATCTGCCCTGGGCCCTTGGATCCCTTGAGTGTGGAGATCCACTGAACCCTATGACAGATCCCCAGGGCTGCAGACTAGCACCTGTGCTGCTACCCAGGCTCCTCCTCAGGGCTCACCTGAGCTCTGCTGGCCAGGGGAAGGAGCTGGTGTGAAGTACTCTTCAGGGAGAGAGAAGCTGTCTGTATCCTGGGTGGGGAAGAAGGCAGCTCAGACCCAGGGCACAGGGGACTCTCCCAGAGGGCTCAACCCCCATCCTGCTCTCCTGGGAGAGCCAGGAAAGGCCTGGTCCCAGGATGAGACAGGGCCACCCTGTCTCCTTCATGCACTGCCTGATACACACCGTCTCTGCTGAACTCCCCTTGGTTGGGCCCGAGACACGTGGGCTCCGGGCCTGCTGCACAGGGATGTTCTGGCTTCTGTGGGGCCTCCTCCCTGGGGAAGGCTGTGAGAGGGCAGCGGAGCTGCTGGTTAGTATACATCTGACCCAGCTCTTCCCCATCATCCTCTGCATCCCAGCACCTCACAGAGAAGCCCTCCATCCCTCCACCCAGCTTAGAGGGGACAGGTACCTGCCCAGCTCATACAACTAAGTGGTGAAGCTAGATTTCAAACCAGGACTGGCTCCACAAATCTGCATTTTCAATCCACATGCATTCTAAACCCCACATTCATCTGAAAGGAGAGGAAAACAGTCACACCCAACCACACGTCCAGCTGTCTAGCTGACTGCACAGCCTCCCTCCGGCCGGCCTGCCACTCTCAAGGCAGGTTTTCTACACCATCTCCCTGATGGCCTCCCTTCCACTGCCATGAGACCTGGCCATCATCGTCGTCCTCTACTGTGCTCTCACTTGGGTGGAGATCCTGAACCAGGAGGATGAGGGCGAGAAGGTCGGCTGGGCGCAGGGAACTTGCACCATGGCTGTAGGCACAGGAGAAGGGCATCTCATCAACACATGCCCAGAGGCAGCAGGGGCAGCTCTGCCCTCAAGGAGACAGGCAAGGTACAAATAAAACTAACTCTTCTATTTTAAAAATAAAATGTGGCTGTGTAGAAAAACAAAAATTAGCAATGAGAAAGCCCCAGGGATCAATAACATTATAAAAGGAGCTCTCCTAGATGCAGGCTTCCACACTGTTCCAGGGAGAAATAACAGAGAAGCGAGTGGGCTGAGGGAGGAAGAGCTGAGCCTGGGGCTTCAGGAAGAGACAGGCCTGGAAGCTTTGCTTGCTGGGCAGCTGCACTCTCCAGGTGGAGGGAATAAGAAGGACGATGTGGAGGCCCTCCCACAGCAGGGCCTCAGGCTCACCTGGAGTAGAAGGCCAGCAGCTTGCAGTGAACGAGCAGGAACGCGTGCAGGGCCTCCTCACTGCCCCGCTCAGGGCTGGAGTTGACAGCCTGGATGACATGCCGCTCCAGCGCCTCTATGCTCAGCTCACAGAGCTGGGGGTGAATCAGCCGCTCCACAGCCTGGCCAGGGTGGGCAGGAGAGGGAGCCATGTCACTCACCACCTCTCCTGCTCTGGGCCCAGGGCTGGTGGGCACGTTCACTCAGTCCAAACTAAGTTCATACTAGATGCCAGATATTTGGAAATAGGGAGAGGACTAACATGACCCCAGCCTGTCTGGGGCTCACAAGCTGGTCCCCAGACTCCGGTGGATGAGGCCAATAATTCACAGGAAATAGAAGACATAAGCATCAATTGTAATATATTCTGAGTAGGAAACACACAGGGCTGAGCCAGAGAAAGTAAACAGAGGCCTATTTGAGTAGTGTGCTCAAAGAAGTGTCCCTATGGAGGTGACCTTTAAACTGCCACCTAAAGAACTGGAAAGCCTGCTAGAGAGAGCGGGAGGGGGAATGCGACAAGTCAAAGACCAAGCAAATCCAAAGGCCCTTCGGGGTGATGTTCAGAGCAGGGCTGTCCAGCTGAAATGGAAAGCAAGTCATAGGCAGAATTAAGTTTTGTTTTTTTGTTTTTTTTTGTAAAAATAAAGAGATGAAATTAATCTTACCAGTATATTTTACCCCATACCTAAAATATTACCAATGTATAACATAGACATGAATTGGATGCTTAACATTCTTTTTTTGTGTGTGTGCTAACACATGAAAGTCTGGCGTACACGGCATGTACAGCATGACTCACAGCTGCATTTCAAGTGTTCAAAACCACATGTGGTTAGTTAATCACTAATGACTGAACAGAGCTAAACATAAAGTATTCCTGAAACTGAAAGAAGTGAATAAGGCGAATAAGGCGAGAGAGGCGTGAGCTGAGGTCTAGGTGGGACAAGCAGAGACAGATGGTGACGGAGCTAGTGGAGCTGGGGAGGAGTCTTGATTTTTTCTCACCTCCATTGGGTCATTTACTCTCATCTAGTTCACTAATTCTCTTTAGCTATGTCTCATATATTTTGATGAGAAACCTAAGATGACACCCAGGATATTTAACTCATCCATTAAGGTTTTCATTTTACTAATTATGCTTTTGTTTCTAAATGTCCACATGGGTTCTTTTTCAAATCTGCCTGGCCAGATTTTTTTAGTCTCTTGCTATTTGTTCATTTTTGGAATTTTAATTGTTATATCTTTGTATACTTTAGTTATTTTATATTCTGTAACCTAATAATTCTAATATAGCAAGCTTCTTTGTTGGTAACTGATTCCCTGACTTCCCTTGACTCTCAAGTTATAATGGCTTATTTTCCTGTGTATCTGACTTCCTTTAACTGACTTCATTTCTATTTGATCTTAGTCTGTCCTTTAAGGCAGTGTTTTCCCAGGTATGGTTCCTGGGTCAGCACACTCAAGATCACCCAGGAACTTGTGAAAAATGCAAACTGTAGAGCCTTGATCCTTGGCCCAATGAATGAGAAACTGGTGGTGAGGCCCAGCAACCTGTACTCATCCAATATTCCTGAAACTGAAAGAAGTCCCAGGTAACCAGTGCAAAGTGAGCAAGGACAAGAGAGGCATGAGCTGAGGCTGAAGCAGGACAGGCAGAGACAGATGATTCTGATGCACACTAGAGTGTGAGAAAATGTGTGTTTGTTGCCATGAACAATCAAGAAGTGCTATTGACCAAAGCTACCCTAACCCCCAGGCCTGGGCTCAGCCTGGAAGAGGCAGGTTCAGCTCCCAACATCCTGCTGGCTGGATGCTATTTTCTGGCTATGGTGTTGGTATCATCCGCTCTCAGGGCCTCTTGCCACTTCTTACTTGTTCACTACTTGTTCACTGCCTCCCACTCTTTTTGTGGGGTGGGGATAATGTCAAAAGATTATCTTCAGGAATTTCAGTAATACATAGTGAGTCCCAAACCTGCACTGGGAAAATTCTTACCCAGAATCCAGTGGTCCATCAGAGTACCCAGCCCTCCACATGGCCAGAAAGAATGACTCAACATAAACGAGTAAATTTCAGGGTCTTCCTGTGCCCAAAACAAGGTCTTATAGCTTGATGCCCCCCATGACTCAACACCTCTGAGGCCCAAAGTATCCATGCCCCATAGTCACCTCCACAGCGAAGCTCTGCTCCTGCTCCCGTAGGCGGCTATAGGTCCACAGTAGGCTCTGGAAGTGCTCCCACACCTGGACGCGCTGCTCCAGGTCAGGAGGCCGTAACCTGGGGGTAGAACCAGGGAGAGTGGAAGCCCATGAGAAAGGTAGTATTTTCAATTCAAGCTTAGGACCACCATCTCAGGTCAGCATAAGAGTCAGCAAGCTCAGGAGATGTGACCATCTAAGTGGGACACACACCGAGAACAGAGGCCATGTTTCAGACTGTGCCCTGGCTACATTGTGGTATGATATGGGCAGGCAACCAGAAGACAGGCCCTTGAACAAATGAATTCACTCCTTAGTCTCCTTCACACAGGTGTATCAAAGGCAGCTAGAAGCAACCAGGAAGGTGTCTGCAGTTCCTAAGCTTCTCACACCCCCCCCCCAGGCACTGGAAACAGATAACTCTGGTCTATCATCAGGGCAGAACACGGGGGTGCAGCCCTCTTCAATGCTGCACAGGTAATGATGGTTTGTGTAATGGTAGCTGCTGCCTGTAGCACTTGCTGCCGACACTTGTGACCATCTGGGTAAATGACTCATGAGATCATGTTTGACAATTTGGTAAATGACTCAATTGGCTACTTACTTACATCACTTCAAAACCAAAAGATTCCAGGGTTTCCCCTGTGTTAGGGAATTGGGATGATTCCACCCTGAACCTTGCTCTTCTGGGTCCATGTTTCAACCAAGTCCCTTTTCTGGGTTCCTTCTCACCTCAGTGTACACTCTGAACCAACAATCTTTTTTGCCAAGTTTGTTGCAGGCCCAGAGTTGGGTTTGGGGGCCTGACCCCTCAGATAACACAAGCTTGGCTGTATGAAGGCACGCATTTTTCTGGAAAATGAGCCTGAAGCTTCTTTGAGAGGGGAGAGAGGACCAGCTCAAACCAGGGTGGAAATGACAAAGAAGGGAGTTGAGAGTACTAAAGTCAGATTTCCAGGCTGATGCTGTCGCCAATCAGCTGGATGGTTCTGAGTAAATATTCTAGTTCTCTGCCCTTAGTTGCCCCATATGTAAATGAAACAATCAGACCAGCTAATCTCCAAGGCTCTTTTGAGCTCTGCTCCTCTGAGGGCCACAGGTGGGGCAGAATATGGAAGCACAACTTCAGAGGCTAGGCATATGGCTGCCTGGCCCCATGAGGGTACTCAGCAGAGGACAAGGAAGGGACCAGACTCAAGGACTCACTCCTTTCGGATGAGCTGGCCATCCATAGTAACCAGTCCAAAGTGCACCTCGAACAGGTACTTGAGCACACAGAGCTTCCGCCGAAGATCTCCCTCGTTCTCAGAGTGGTCCCCATTGATGGCGATGAATAGGCATTCTCCAAACTGTAGGGACAGCCAGGCAATGTCAGCTAGTTCCTGGGGACCACCCTTTATCTGCCATGATCTCAGCAGACAAGGGAGGGGAGGCCTGAGCCCCAGGGGATTTTGATAATATGCTGTTTCTGCCCTTCCAAGGAAGTCTACAGTCCAAGATGAGGAAGGGTATGTGGATTCCCCATGGAGCTGAGGGAACAGGAACATGGGCCACAGGGCCTCACACTCACCAGGTGAAGGACATACAGGGAGTTGTCATTTTCTGTTGAGAAGCATGTGTATGTGTCTGAGAGTTTCTCCAACATCGTCATGGAGGAGATGATGACTGGGGCCAAGAGGGTGCTGAGCTGGTCTTCCAGGGCAGGAAGCTGCAAGGGGTCAGGGAAACAGCATTGCTTGGTGTGTGCCAGATGCTGAGGACAAAGGAGTAAATAAGACTAGACTTGTCTGGGAGGGGAATCACTGTCATGATTGGGAGGGGACAAAGAGAACTGCCCCCACCACCTTGGGTGATAGGTAGGAAGGTGGGGAGTCAGCCCAATATCTGTGCTGATCAGACTATGAATCTGGAAGGAAATACCAAGGAACTGGCCTCATTTCCACAGTAGAATGTCTGGGGCATTTAACTGAGAACTTGTCAACTCTAAGGAAGTCTACAACACCTACCAAAGTCCATGCTGGTGATAGGAGATGTGCGCACAGATGTTCATTATAGCACAATTTACAGATGCAAACAGTGTAAAAAACATAAATGCCCAGTACTAGGGAAAGAGTTAAATAAATAACAGTATGTCTAAGTGATGGGAGAGTCTGCAGAACCACTTAAAATATTAATGTTTCGATGACAAGAAAAATTTCTCTTATACGAGGTTATGCATATATTTTTAAAAGATGTGAATGCTCTGTATTTAAAAATACTTAGAAAAAAGTACTGAAAAATATTAAGAAAGCCAACACTGTTAAGTCACTACTTCTAGATAGAGGAATTATAAGTGATTTTTTCCTCTATTTTGTTTCTATGCTTTCCATAACAAACATGTATTTGCTTTGATAAGCGCTCTCCCTATCCATTCTCCTGGCCGCCAAAAGAAGGAACAAAACAACTAAACAAAAGCAAAAAGGAATGAGGCAAATTTGTTAAGAGCCTGTGAATGAATGTGGGAGGAAGCCAGCTGAGCTCGGTACCTCCAGTTCCCAAAACTGCAGTGAAATAAAGGAGGAAACAGCTGATGTCCCCCAGGGGACTTCAGGGGACTGGAATGGAATAAGGGGAAAGTTATACCCTTACTTGGAGCTGGCACGTCCTACAAGGAGCTAAGTAAGTGCTCGCCTTGAAAAAAGAACCAGGCGGCTGGCGAGGAGTCCTGTGCAGCCCTGAATGGGCCTGGGTGCAGCAGGACGGTGCACATTTTCTGCAGACATTCTCAACATGCAGGCACCCAGCCCAACAGTGTGTCCTGCGGGCTTTCATGGTGGCTCCTTCACATCACTCCCATCCCAGCCCAGAGGGCTCCGTTCCTGGTGGCCACCCCACCCCAGCTACTCCCCATCCCACACCCTGTTCAATGTCTTCTCTCCATTTACCACAGCCTGAACTGGAGTATTTCTTTGCAGTCTGGTTCACTGCCCATCATCCCTCTTTAGATCCTAAGTTCCCTGACAGAAAGGATCACATGGCTATGGTCACTGCTTTATCCCCGTAGGCCAGCACACAGTAGGTTCTCAGTTAATATTTGCTGAATGGATAGTCTCCCACATAGACAGGAACAAATGCTTGTTGAGTTATTCACATTCTATGATTTTCTTAAATTGTCACCAATTCTACTAATAGAAAAGCCACTTAAAATCTGATTCTATACAGCAACTCACTGTGAAGAATAGCTTTCTCTACAGACATAGGAACAATCTTTTTATGATTGGGAAAGGAAAATTTTTGGTATATGTAGAGTTGGAAGGGGCACTCTTATATACTATTTGGTGAGATTATAAAGTTCTACAATATATTTGAATAGCTTTTGACTCATTTCTATTTTAGGAATAATCATAATATCAAATAATCAGAAATAGGATGAAATTCAAGCACAAATGCCCCATACAGCAAGTGATAGCTAACTAGACGGAATATATATGTCCAGCATTAGAAAATGGTTAAATAAATGATGATACATTTGTTCATGTACTGGAATATAATGATGCCATTAAGAACTATGCTTTTGGGAACATTCAACAAAATGGAAGAATGATTTTGATATAATGGGATATGAAAAAAAACAGGAAATAAAACTGTAAATGTGGTATGATTCCTACTATATAAAAGATACTGACTCAAAGCAAGTATATTAAAGAGCTAATAGCTCTGGGTAGCAGAATTATGGGTCATTTAAAAACTATCTCTTTGCTTTCCAAATTTCCTTCAATTAACTCATGTTATTTATATGATCAGAACAAATGAGTGTCGCATACAAAAAATACTTTTTTCCTTTACACTAGTCTTAGGAACTGGAATATACTTAGGAACTGAAATATCAGGAGTTTGTTTCAGTACCAGGTTTTTAATAAGGGCGGGGAGCACAAAATAGTTCGCTTCTTAAATTGATCTAGTTGAAATAGTAGTTCTAGACTTAAGACAAATTCGTAATTTAAAAATTAGATGTCCTGCCAGGCGTGGTGCCTATAATCCCAACCACTTGAAGGCTGAGGCAGTAGGATCAAAAGTTGAAAGGCAGCCACAGCACCTTAGCAAGACTCTGTCTCAGAATACAAAAAATAAATAAATAAAATAAAGAAGGGATGGGGATGTGGCTCTGTGGTTAAGCTCCCCTAATAAAATCACTCTAATGTACCTGAGCTCCAATACCTTATTTTCTCTTAGCAACTAATAAGAATATCAGTGGAGTGGGCTCAGCTGGAGGGCAAGCCCTTCATAGCAGTGAGGGCAGAGAGGCAGCCTCTCTCTCTGTTGCTGTGGAAGTTCAAGAACTCCCACTACTGTATCCCCAATTAATTTTTTTTGAACTCAAAATTAATGAAGAAAACATTTAACATAAATCGCTTGTTCAAAATGCAGACCAGAAATATAAGTGAAAATGACAATAATTTCAGAAATCAAAGTAGTAAACTGGATGTCCATGAGTAATAATAGAAACCCCAAAACTTTAATACATACCTCACACCATATTCAGAAGTGCAAAATGGGTCATTAGGCCAAATATGAAGCACCAAACTCTAAAACTTCCAGAATAAAACATTGGAAAACTCTTGGGTTAGGCAAAGATGTCTTACACATGACATAGAAAGCATGATTTATAAAAGCAAAAATGGAAAATTAGAGTTATCAGAATTGAAGAACTTCTGCTCTATGAAAAATACTCTCAAGAGAATGCAAACATAAACCACAGACTGGAAGAAAATATTTGAAAAACATATCTAATAAAAAGACTTATATCCAAAACATATCAGAAACTTGCAAAACTTGAAACTATCCAACCATTTGGAAGACTTTAGTAGTTCCTTAAAGAGTTAAACATACACCTATGTGAGCAAGTCATTCTATCCTAGGTATTTACCCCCCACATACATAAAAATGAAAGCATTTGTCCAAAGATTTGTACATGAATGTTCACAGTTGCTTTATTTATATTAGTCAAAAACTGGAAACAATCCAAATGTCCATCAAGAGGTAAATGAGTAAACAAACTGTGGAATATTGATATAATAGACAACTACTCAGCAATGAAAATAAATGAATGATATATGCTACAATGTGGATGAACTGATAAAGAATTATGCTGAACAAAAGAGGCCAGATTGAAAAAAAAACACACAAAAATAAAAAAACTAAACTCAGATATACACTGTATGAAATACAAACTATTCATGATGGACAGCAGACCCGTGGTTGCTAGGGGAGGAGGTGGGAAAGGAGAGATTACTTTTTTCAATTGATTGTGATGGAGTCATGGGTATACACACACACACACACACACTGAAGCAGATCAAACTGAATACTTAAATATGTACAGATAATGGTGTGTTGATTATAACTTAAGACAGCTATGAAAAAATAATGCATGGTTTATTCTAAAGATTTTTGGTACAGAAACTAATAACACTAAGTTTCTCTGTCACATGGTTAAAAATCCTATCTCCTCTTGCCCTCACTCCCAGCAAGCCCTGGTAGGGAGCAGGCACTGAGGTCTCTGTACCCACAGTAACAACCGGCTGACTTCCAGGGATATGCACCTGGCTGTGAAGGACACTGGACATGCACACACCCTGCTAATTCCTTGGGTCCTCCTGTATCCTTGCATTCTGGGAAATCCACGCTGCTCCCTGCCACCCCAGCTCCTGGGACCACCTATGCTGCACTCACCTCTTCTTCCTCATTCTCTGATTGCCCGAACTTCAGTCGGAGACTTTCTTTAAACTCTTCATCTGTCCAGTAGAAGAGAACCTCTGCACCCTCAGTGGCCACCAAGACACACTTCATCTGCCAGGAAGAAGCAAGGTCAAGGTCAACCCCGGCTCTGATATCCATGAGCTCAGCCTGAGTAATGAAGAGAATCCTAACCCCAGCAAACTCTAACTGAGCCCTTTCTGCATGCTAGCCACTATCATGAGGGCCTTCTTGATGTATTTTGTTGTACCTTGATATAAGACTCTCCAGTTACTGCCATTTTACAGAGCAGGGCGGGGGCATAGCCTGAGTGGAAGAGCTAGGACCAACCTAGGTGTGTCTGATGCTGAACCCCTGTCCCCATAGCATCAGACTCACCATGGGGCCTACTGAAAAACAAGGAAGGGACCCTAACATTGGCCTGGACACAGTGGACTGCCTAAGGACCCTGTCCACAGTTCCTACTTGAACTGCTCAGCCACCGCCTCCAGGGTCTACAGCCCTTCTAAACTCTTCCCCATTGCCCACACTTGCACCTTCTGTGCCACAAGTTTTAATACTTGAGAATAAGAAACAGTTCTTGTTACCAACAAGATTCTTAACACAGAGCTTGATACCCTGGCCCTGGAGTTCAGAGATCTGGATCCTCTTAACCTGTAGGGTAACCTGACCAAGACCGGCAAGGCCAGAGCTCTGGGCCAGTGTTTGCAGCTACATTAGTTTAGGCTTCAAATTCCCTCGTGGACCTCAGTGTGCTACACAGATGTGACTGTGCTGTAAAGTGCTAAGCTGTGATGATGCTTAGAAAACTTTGCTTTGACTCTTGTAGGAGAAGGTGTCCAGTTTCCCAGGAGGCTCACAGCATCCTGAGGTCCTGGCCTCTGCTGTAGTCTCCAGGAACTGCTCGCAGCTCAGCGGTCCTCACTGTGTTCATCTCAAATCTCATGCTGGTTTATCAACTCTGAAGCACTTGGCCCCAGGATGTTTACAAGGTTAGAGTGGGGAGAGGAAACTACCACAGAAACTGGGAGAGCAACGGGGTGTGAAGAAGAGGCTGCTGGGAGAGGGCAGGAGACCTGTAAGAGGCTGCTCAGGGACTCTGGAACTGTGTGGGGTTGGTCTGACCAGAAGGAAGTGAGCTATGATCAGAGTCTATGGTTGACAGCAAGAGGGCCCTTTAGGCTGTGGCAGGCTGGCTGGAGATGGGCCACTCTAAGGTCATGAAGAACAGCCATCTGAGTGTGGGGTAACGAGGGCCTGCTCCTTGGTGGAGGCCAGGATTGTGGAGAGGAAGGAGCCAATTAAGGAGGTGTAGCTTAGAGATTTAGCAGGCTCGGATGACTGCCAGGATGTGGGGGATGAAGATTGGGCAAAGGTGGCATAAGGATGCAGACCTGGGGAAGGGGTGTGGGGTGGGGAGGGTTTGCAGAGCCAGGAAAGCTCAGTCTACTGTCTATCTTCGGTTTGCTTCCCACAGTCCCAGGGTGGGTGCCTCCAGCCTCCCTGTATGCCCAGAGGGCAAGGTCATCTACCTTTGTAAGTAGCAGTGGAGCTTCCAGGCAGCCAGAGGCTCAGAAGTGGTAGTGGTAGGTAGACTCGATGACCAGCTCATGGAACAACAACACAGCATTCTCAGTCCTGCAAATGCTTAATACCAAAAAAAATAAGGGCAAGCAGAGGCTCTGGTCCCACTAGCTGCCTGTTCCTAGGAGTGGACAAGCTAGGGAAGGCTTGAAAGGTCAGAGGTCTCCCCTCTTCCCCCTTTAATGGAGAACATGAGCCTAGCCAAAAACATTGGTTCCTCCTGAGAGCTCTCATTTCACTATGGGTCACTCAGAAAGGAGGTGTGGTCAGCAAATCCTGAGCAGCCCCAGGGAGCTGGCTGAGTAATCAAGTGGAGACAGCACAGCACATCCCAGGCTGGCAGGTGAGCAGTCCCTGTGTGAAAGATGGAAAGTGGCTATCCTGGGGGAAGCCACAAAGGGCAGTAAATTTATTGAAAAGGCATGAGATCTGGTTCTGGCTTTGTCTTTGGCAGGTCAGTTAAACTCTGAGCCTCAAACTCCCACTGGGAAAGGAGGGAACAACCCTCTGCTGAATCTGCCTACAGGGTTACAAGGAGTCTTGGAAGCAACCAGCTAGGTTGCTAAAAAAGCTCAGCAAACTCAGCTTTCTTATATAAATGGAGAAGGGATCATTATTGTTTTCCAGTTGTCCTTCTTCAAGTAACAGGATGAACTACGAAGGTTTCAGAATCATTCAATTTTTGACAAAAGACAGGAAAAATATAAAGCTACACAGGAAACCACTGGAAGCAGCAGGGCTCTTGGGGACTAAGGGCTGCATTCCAGCATGGTTGGTCTTAATGCCAGTCTAGAAACATGGGAATGCTTTTCAGTGGGCATTAGATTCTACTCTCTTCCCTGTAGGATGAGTTTGTTTGGAAGTGAACTTCACCCATCTCATTTTGGAATTTCCTTTTCTCCTTGCTATCCTGCTCTATAGAGGAACGCACAGGAGGGGGCTTTCTGGCAATGGGAGTTCCAGATGGCACCAGCGCGCTTTCATCATCTGGACCAGGAGTCCCCTCCAGCAAACTACCCCTGTGACTTTTGTCCTGTCGGCTAACTTGGGGCCGGGCCTTGCCCCTACCCGGGCAGAGAACCTGCACTGTGTGCGGACAGAGCCTGAGCCAGCCCCCTGCAGCCGCCGGGCCTTCCTGCCCGCCAGGCACTTCAGTTTACTTACTGGTTTCACCCCCAAGACCCCAGGTTCCCCCCGAACTTTACGGCGACCCTGGTTAGGAGGCCCGGCTGTGGTCCCCGGCCCACAGGGAGGTGGGGCCCGCTCTCGGGGTCCCCACGGAGTCCCCTCCGAGAGGGCTGCGCCGGGTCCCGGAGGAAGCTCCGCCGCCCGCTGGAGGATCCACCCGGGGCGGCACTAGGACTGTCCCGAGGCCCACGTACCGGATAGCAGCCCCCACGGCCCAGCCGGCGCTAGCACCCGGGCGCGCTTCCGGGTGAGACCGCGTGACCCGCCACGTGATCGCCTGCGCGGGAGGCGGGAGCTGTGCTCCGCGGGTTCGAGCCCCGCCCTGCCTGGCTGTGCCTGGTCCTGCCTGGCCCGCGGGCGGCCGCTGCCTCTGCTCGCCGAGCTGGGCGGCCTGTGGTGCCGAGCCGCGTTTCTCCCGGCATCCAGCAGGGCGCTGGGCCCACGCACGCGTCTGTGGTCGAGGCACTTGCTGTACATCCCGCACTGCATAGTTCACTAGGCATAATGTCCTAGAGGTTCATTCATATTGTAGTGTACATTGAAATGTCCCTCCTTTTTTCCCCCTCCTTTGTTCTAGGGATTGAACTCGGGGGCACTCAACCCCTGAGCCACATCCCAGCCCTATTTTGTATTTTATTTAGAGACAGGGTCCCACTGAGTTGCTTAGCGCCTCGCCATTGTTGAGGCTGGCTTTGAACTCAGGATCCTTCTGACTCAGCCTCCCAAGCCGCTGGGATTACAGGCCTGTGCCACAGCGGCCAGCAAATTTCCTTCCTTTTGAAACTCAAATAATTTCCTTTATATGTGTATAATCATCTTTTGCTTATTCATTCATCTGTCCATGGTCACTTGGGTTGCTTCCACATTTTAGCTTTTATTAATAAGTCTGTTGTGAATATGAACATGTATCTCTTTGAGATCCTGCTTTCAATTCTTTTGGGAATATATTCAGAAATTGCTTGATCATATGGTAATTCTATTTAATTTTTTGAGGTACATACTGTATTCCACAGTGGCTGCATGATTTTACTTTCCCACCAAAAGGGCATGAAGTTCAAGTTTCTCCACATTCTGTCAACATTGTCATTTATTTTTCTTCTTTGACAGCAGGCGTCCTAATGGGTATGAGGTGGTTCACCAGAAGTTTTTATTTCACTTTGGTGAACACCTAGGAGTGGGGTTGCTGGTCTGTATAGTAAGTCCATGCTGAACTTTATGTTGAACTGCTAAGCCATTTTCCAAGGTGCATGTACCATTTTATGTTCCCTCAAGATGCTCTGTACCCTTGATAGCATTGGATATGGTCCTTTTTAAACTTAAACCATGCTAGGGATGTGCTGGCGTTTCATTGTAGTTTTAATTAATCATTTTCTTAATGACTAATGACTTCTTTCCATGTATGTATATGCTACCTTTATCTGTTCCTTGGTAAAGTGTTCAAATCCTTTGACCATTTAAAATTTTAATTCTTGGGGCTGGGGTTGTGGCTCAGCAGTAGAGCACTTGCCTAGCACTTTCAAGCTGGGTTCGACCCTCAGCACCACATAAAAAGATAGATAAATAAATAAATTAAATAAAGGTAGTATGTCCAACTACAACTAAGAAAAAAAATAAAATTTAATTCTTTTTCTTATTGTTTATTTGACGTTTTAATATATTTGGGTATAAGCCACTTTATCAGGTATTTTCTTTTTTTCTCTTTTGGCAGTCTATGTCTGTTTGTTGTTGTTGTTGTTGTTATTGTTTACAGTGACTTAACTTTGTATCTAATATATCTAAAGACCACATGGAGAGGAACTGGAAAAACAGCAGCAGATCAAGTACGGACCATCTCACATAGAATTGGACAACAGGAAAGTAGGTAATTGTGGGTTTCACTTAACTTGAAGTCCTCATTTTATAGATAAGGACACTGAGAGCCATAGAGGCTGAGTGAATTTTCTTTTGAGATGCACAGAATCAGTGGGATAGCATTGCTGTGATCTCTGGATGTGGGTGTTCATTTGGTCTGGAGTCTGGCCTCTGATTCTACAAGTGATCTTATAACCTGCTTTGCTATTTGAGTTTTCAAATTTTATTTTTGATGTGTCCAGTAGAGGGCGCAGCACCTAGTACTACCTGTATCCGAACTGGATAGTAGTGGAACAAGTTTTTTTTTTTTTTCTAATATTCTTTTTAGTTGTAGATGGATACACCTTTATTTATTTATTTATTTTTATGTGATGCTTAGGATCGAACCCAGTATCTCACACGTGCTAGATGAGTGTTCCACCCAGCTAAAATTCCAGCCTCAGAGATAGATTTTTGATAAAAATCAGCCAAATACTAGAAAAGGCAGGACCTAAAGAGGGGGTTCAGGGGAAGGAGAAGAAAGCTCCTAACCTAAAAAGGTTATTTTGGAGTCTGCAAAAACGTCCTGCTGATCTAGATATTACCACACACAAATGTAACAGTTACTTGATAGCAAATCAACTGCAGGGACCTAAAACCATTGACTCATTCTCTGGCCTCCCAACATCTAAGTTCTATGCTCCTTTCCCATGAAATGTACTTGGGAAGTAGCTGCTAGCTAAGGACTTCATTTCCTGAAGCCCTAGTATCTAGATGGGCCTATGTGACTAACTTTTGGCCCACAGAACTGAGGAGAAGGGACATGTGCCATTTCCAGGTGAGGCCCCTAATTGCCTCCATGTGATCCTTTCTCTCATCTATCAACTGCATGTTGATGCCAGAGTAGCCTTGGAGGAAAGTCCACAGATGGCAGACGGCCTGTGTCAGTCCAGATTTCTAAGTGACGACTTGGGAAGATAAAGCTACTGACCCCCTTCCCTGTTACCACCAAATGAACTGAATGTGGGTTATAAGCAAGAAATAAACTTTGATTATGTTAAGCCATGGAGATTCTAGAGTTTACTTATTATTATATTTAACTGTTAAATAATATAATCAAAGACATCTAACTTGAATTATAGAATTTAATTTCTACCTAGACTAGTTGAAACAGAGCTTGTGGGGGAGGGGGAGGGCAACACACCATTCAATCAAAGGTTCCCAGCATATGCTGGTTCATCAAGCAATAGGTCTTAAGGTCAAGGTGTAACGTGGACAACAGGTGCCTCCCTCTCCCCACAGAAAACCCTGAGAACAGAAAGTTAAGAGTAGTCACATTTTATTACTCACAAAACATTACCTCCAAATATAAACTACCTCATGGACCCAAATCCCTGCGATCCCCAGGCTCATATATACCATAACATAATCTGCTTTCCAGAAGGAAATATTAACACCTGTTAAAATCCTCCCCATAGAGACAAAGCTTTTCCTGTGAGGTGTCCTGTACTCATTTTGCCAACTTCCAGATGAATAAAACTAAGATTTCTTTTTGCTTCTTCCAAAATTATAATTTATTGCATAATATTTACAACTTGAAAAAGAATCCTAGAATATTTTCATGCATAATAATTAGAAGAGTAATATTCCTGATGTGGGCTGTTGGAAGTGCCTTCTTTTCTCTGCTGGGTCATGGGACTGTGCGACTGATTCATGAGCCAGTCGAATGGAACTTTCTCAGCTCCCACCCAATGCTCCCAGTGCTTACATGGACTGCTCTGGCCTATAGAAGGAAATGGTGCCAAGTAGTTCTTTGTTGTATTTTTATTCTCTTTTTTAGGGTGGTATTTGCAAATACTCCCCCTTGGTCAATGGTCCATGGATTTATTATTTAGTCTGGGAAAGTGTGAGTGGTATCCTCTGAGGAGGACAAAGTGTGTTTAGTTTCTGATTAGCTCAGTCACTTACCTCCTAGGACCTAGAAATACAAGAACCATTCATTACCTATGGTGGTGGCTGGCAGGAATTGTCCTTAGATTGTTCCACAGAAAAATACAGAGGGGGAGACCAGAAGAGTCACTGGTGGGCCAAGATGAGTCTGGACTTGGCCAAGGCTGTTAGTTGGCTTCCTTAAACCAGAGATCAAGGGGAAGGCATTGGGGGAAGTCATGCTAGGGTTCTCTGTGGGACAGGCACAGGGTATTAAGAAGGCTAGCTATGGGCAAACAGAGATGAGAAAAGGTTGTCTATTGTCAGACAGAGGAGAGGCAACACAGTGTAGTGAGAGCCAACTTTGGAACCCAAAAGACCTGGGACCAAACCTCAGCTCGGCCACTCTTCACCTGGATGGCTATGGACAGGCTCCTTCTCTAATCCTCCCCATCTCTAACAGAGTCAAAATACTCACCACACCACCCAGAATGAAGAATAAATAAGATGTCTGATGAGAAGAAGGCATTCAATAAAGGAAGGACAGCTATGGAAGCAATCATTTCATTGTTAGTGGAACTCAGAGGGAGGGATTCCAAGTGCTCCGGTTGTTTGGACCTCATAGTACAATAAAATTCTGTATTTTAGCATTGGCTCTCTTGGGAGTACTTCTTACTATCTTCTTTACAACTCAGGTACATGCTAAGGAAAAGAGTACATACAAATCTAAAATTAAAGTTTAAGAGTTGGGGATAGAGAGGCTGGCAGGGGAGGGGCTGTGGAACAGGAGAGCGAGTGCGGGAAGAGCAAGTCAGTGTCCAGAGCGGCCCAATGGTGCCCGGCTGGACAGGGGTGTGGAGGAAACTGTTAGGTACAAGACTCTGCCCTTCCTTCTCTGGCTTTCCCAGAGTCATATCTTGATTCATTTTGGTTACTCCATTGATATTTCAAAATATGAAAGTCCTTCCTTGTCCTAGTGTTTTTACCATCAGAGGGATCCACCTGATTTGCCTTTGCTTCTGCAGAGATTAAATGCTGACATTTTGTTTTTAGAAATAAAGCCACTCTCAGTGGGTTTCCAAGGTGAATCCTGTAGCTACATCCATTCCAGGCACTTGGCCTCAGTGCATGGATGCTGGGCCCGGCCCCAACCATGCCGCCTGCAGGAAGCTCAGTGACTAATAGCCCACTGAGTGCTGGCCCCTGATTCTGGGAGTGGGTAACAATAGAATCCATCAGGCTTCTCTGTCCTACCTGAGAGTGTGTGGCTTTGGGCCTCCCTGCCTGGGGACTGCCCACACGTCTGCTGGGGAGGAACTGGGGATGGAATCATGGTTCTAGGAGGTCCAGGCCTTAGTCCCACTGGAGCCCCCTCCCCCTCCGCTGGTATTTTCAAGCTTTTCTCCAGCCAGCGATAATACTAATATCCCACAGTTGCAGTTTTTTTTTTACAGAGCATTAGAAGAATTGGGACTTTCTCTCCAAATAACAATGAGAATTTATTCTGAGCCTTTGTGATAAGAAATGAGAAAGGAAATCATTCCTAGAGGCAGAAGGAA